CACCGCCTCAGCATGGCTGGACAAGCGGTGCGTTGGTGCGCGCCCAGGATCTGAACCCAGGTTGCCAGTAGCAGAGCACGAGCACTTAACCGCTAAGCCACGGGGCCGGCCCCAGATTTTTTCTTATTAAAAAGTTGTGGAATGAATATTCAACGTTTATAAGAAGGATTTCTCTATTTCCACCTGCTGTATGTATACTTTATATCAAGTGAACTAACGTTTGTCTCTCTGTAACAGTAGTTTCTTTTAAGAAAGACTTAACCCCCTTCTTTTCCCAGAGCTTCTTTGGAATTCTATTTGCACATTATGAATAAAGTAATTAAATACTCTCTGTAGATTGCTCTTTGTCACTGTTTCTCAGATCTGTGTTTGCTGTCTGGGCTATCACCCAAGCATCACTCCCATAATTCTCCTTGCCTATTAAACATTTCCACCTGGCTGGCTTACCATTGCTTTCAACCTAGCCTGCCTGACATTGAATCTCCCACCTTACACAAAACAAAAAGATGCTGCTGTGTCTACTCATTTTTGGTCTGGGGACATCGTGCGTGTTCTTGAATCATTCATTGCCTTTGTTCCTTCTATGCCATCTGTGTACCTACTTCAAGGGTGCTGTGTATTCAGGTGTGGCCCATGTGATCAGTATAATTATAGAATAATAATGCTAAGATGGCAAAGGTAGGGAGCCACATGAAATTTTTTTTTAAATGAATATGGTGAAGTTAAGCCTATTAAATCTACCAATACAGTTATAGACTTAATGCTGGTCACTTATCAGTTTTGGCAAAACCAGTGAAAATATAGAATATCTGACCGTTTTCTAGATCTAAGAATTTTTTTTTTAAGGATACATTTGAATTCTAACTCTAGGGTGTGTCACTTGTGCTGGTTGTCAGCCTTTATTTTAGCAGTTTAACAAAAGAGTTGTCTCATGAGCTTTTGCACTGCCCAGAGTTTGGACAGAGAGAAGTTTCATTGTAATTACAGAATTCATATAACTTATCTCCAGAATTCTAGGAGTACACTGTGTATCAGTGGGTACATCTCCCTTTCCACAGCAGATGTTCTTGATACTAAGCCATTTTGATAAAGTGATTATTTAATAATTTAAAATCATGGAAATTATACTTGGAAGATAATTAAAGCAACTTAAGGCATGATTTATACTTATCAAAACCCTACAAATCTTTCTTGAGTTGTTCTTCAGTTCTTCAAAATATCTAATTTCTTTGAAGCTAGGGTATTTCCCCACAGAAAGTGAACGTGGACACCATCTACCATCTCAATCCACAGGTCCAGTCTGCAAGAATACTTGTAGTACTCTTGTGTACAATTTATTAAATTTTGCTCAACCTCTGACGTATGAACTCTCTATAGGTTACTGCATATGTGGTTTTGGCTGTGCTGCCTTAGTGGAGCTGAAATCACAGCCTGCCTCAGCACTCTGCTCTGTAAGCTGTGAGCCAGGCTCTAGGGGCTCCATCAGCATGGAGCAGTGGTTTTCAGTGTAGTGCACAGTAGCCTGGGGGAGACTCTGAGGACACTTTCAGGAGGTTTAGGAGGACAGAACTATTTTCACCATAATGCTAAGATTTATTTTCCTTTTTCTCGGTATTGGCATTTGCACTAATGATGCAAAAACAATGGGGAGTAAAACTGTTGGTGCCTTAGCACAAATCAAGTCAGTGGCACTATGCTGTACTAGGAGACATTATATTCTTCACTGCCATTCACTTGCAGTTAAAAAAGTCAGTTTCACTTAAGAATATCATCAAGAATATCCTTGATGAAGCAGTAATTATTACCAGTTGTATTAAATCTTGACCCTTGAGTGCGTGTTAACATTCTGTTATGAAATTGGGATGTTCGCTGAAAGCGTCTCTGCTGTGTACTGAAAACTGATGGAGTTCGTGAAGAAAAACACTTGAGTTATTGTTTGAGTGGCAAGATGAACTAGCTGAATTTTTTTCACAGGACATCAATTTTCTCAAAAGAATGGCTCACAGCCAAACTATGACTATTCAAACTTGAGTATTTGGAAAACATTTTCTCAAAAGCAAATGAGGTGAGCTTGTCACTTCAAGGAGAACAGTTGACAGTGTTTATTGCCCGTGGTAAAATTCAAGATTTTAAGCAGAAGTTTTGAATTTTGAAAACCTGCATCTGCCGTTTTGAGCTTGATAGCTTCCCAATATTTATAGTTTTCTGATGAGGTTGATGTTGATTTTAATGAAAGTGATTTTCTGATAGTGTATCATGGAATGTCTCAGCATTTGAGAGGTCTGCTTAACTCATTGAGCCAATATTTTCCAAATAACTACCACATGATGTTACAAAATCATGCATGGGTAAAAGATCCATCCAAAGTACAAGATCGATCAATGGATTTTAGTGTAACTGATATGGTTTCAGATTCTAACCTTTAAGAAACAGCCACTTGTTGAGTTTTGGTGTAGTATCAAAGAAGAATATCTACATTTTTCTGGCAAAGCTATTAGAATACTCCTCCTTTTCCAGTCATGTATTGGAGGGAGGTCCAAATTTTCTTCACATAAAATAACATACTGCAACAGATTCAGTGCCGAAGTTGGTATGAGAATTTAGCTGTTTTCAGTTATACCAGACATTAAAAGAATTTGTGAAAATGTAAAACTGACACTCTTGTCACTAAGGTTTTTTTTTGTTTTAGAAAATGTAACAATTTTGCATGAAATGCTATCTATGTTAGTATGTAATAGAATTATTTTTAAGTGAGTTAGTAAATATTTTTAAAAGTCTCGGTTTTAATTTCCAGTATGGTGAACATCCATACACGTAGCCAGTGGTGTGCTGGAGCTGGCTTGTGAGAGCTGATTGTGTGCCTCTTTTTCCAGCTTTGTGTTCCATGTCATCCATTGGTAGCTTGAAATCTGCCACAGTAGGAGTTTTTACATGACAGAAATCAGGAAAGGTTCTCCCTTCCTGAAAGCTGGCTGTTAAATGTTTACTGATTTCTGAGAGTGTAAAGGTGTCCTGAGACTAAAAAGTGTGAGTAGTAGTTGTGTGGCCAAAGGAGTACCTTTTGGTGATTGGTCCACACAGAGGTGGACGCCTTTCTATAATTCATACAGATTTGCCTCTTGCACTGGGAACATTTGCAAAATAAATTCTTCCAATTTTTTTTTAACGTCTAGTTGTTAAATCTACTGGTTCCATTGTGGGATAACCTTTTTCTTTCCCCTAAAGTCTAAGGTAGACAGTAATACTCCGGGGGCAGATGGGCTGAATTTGCCCCTTGGGCTACATGTTGAGTGTCTCTGCCTTATTTTCTCACTTTTCTGTCCAACTGTTATCCAGACTCAGATCAAGGCCTGGCTCAAGCAGGGCTCCTACACAAAGCCTTCGCTTACTGTTCAGCCCATGCTGGTCTCAAGTCTGTGCTCCTGTGACTGTCATGGCCTGTGCAATGGAGCAGTTAGTTCTGTAGTGTTTGGTGTGCTATTGTTTCTTAGATGTTCGTTTTATTAATTCTACTTTCTACCCTAGTGCACCTAGTACAATGCTCCCCATATAGGCTTTCTTGCATGGATAAAATAATTTTTACTTTTGGATTACCAAAGAAGTTTGCTTTCTGAGGGAATTATGTTGTAAATAAATCTTAAAATTATCTGTTGTAAACCCAGTTTTTAATAATTCTTTTAAAGTTTAAGTAGATTGGAAATCATTGGTGTTCCTTAAAATGAGGTCCCACACAGAGGCTTCCTTCAAAATTTGCTTTAGATCCTGTGGTTCTACGACCATTCATGATAGGAACTGGTCTCTCATCGCATTTCCAGAGTCTTTGACTGTTTTGAGTAAGTCATACTGAATAGTGAAACTTAGTACAATGAGGCAAAGTTTCTAAGATTACGCTGGCCTGTAGGGCCAAGTTGTTTGCTGATTAGAACACTTGGCAGGTTTTGAGTCAAGGGGAGTGGAGGTGTTGTTGTGTTTTGCTGGTCAGGAGCTCTGTCGACAGCACTCAGGGTAGCTGGGAGGTGGCTGTGCTCTCTACTCTGTGCAAACTAAGTGATGGTTCTAGCCTTTCTGGATGCTCAAGGGAGGAAAGAGGAAAAGTGAGAGGGCCACTAAGGCAGGAGCTTTCTGTGGGTCAGAGACACTAAGGGCATGAAAGGTCCTGGAATTTCTTGGGCCTGTGCCTTGTTTGCAATTATGGGGGCATAAAAATAACTGCAATTTTCATTAGTATAGTGACAAGGCATTCGCTTACATCTGGAGTAGTACTAGAATATGATGTTCAACATCTCATTTATTAAAAGATAATTCACCATATTTAAGTTCTGTCTCCAATTTCTCTGAAGAAGTTAGAGAGGGTAGTTTATCCTCTGGCCTAACTAAGGCTTCACTCTTAGCAGTAGTGAGGTCGTAGTGAGGTAGTTTAACTGCTTTAGAACTTGGTGCTGGGAACATTCTTAGCCACCGAAGCATGGGAACCGAAAGTGAGGAGCATGGGTTCTTTACTGTCTGTCACATCAGAGAATGACTGTTCCAGGGCAGTAACCGCCTCCTAATGGTAAGTACCCCGGCTTGCTTGTCATTTCTTAGAAACAGGAAAAAGAAAGGAAAAATAGGCCAGTCATAATAGTGAATGGTATTTCTTTAAAAGACCAAAAAAAGGTGCAGCCTTAATCCTCATTGATAATCATTTTTGCAGGTTTCTGTTGCTGGAGCGGGCACCGGAAGAGGCTCTCCAGCTGTAACTCTAGTACAGTTACCCTCGGGCCAAACTGTCCGTGTCCAGGGAGTAATTCAGACACCACAGCCATCGGTTATTCAGTCACCACAAATACAAACTGTTCAGGTCAGCGCCCTTCCTGGATGATTTGTCTTTCACTTTCTTGAGTTATCTTTTTCTTTTACTAATTCATTTATCATCTTTTTCTTTGTGTAGCTTTTATACTTGTCTTTTTTTAGACATTTGGAGGAATTTCCTGTCTCTGTGCAGTGCTCTGTGCCCTGCTAGAGACATAGATTCAATGAGGAGTTGCAGTGTTGTCAGCTCTTCATTTGCAGAATGGGTAATTGCCAGATGAGTAATTCTTCTTCAGGTTGTTGCTTTATGCTCAAAGTCAGATTTATTTAGCAAAGCTCTCCAATGGTGCTTAAAAATATTTTGAGGATTCTTTGGAGAAGATGTCTGATAATACAGTAATATAAGGAGTATAGTACTGATGCTTTTGTCATGAATACTCACATTAATAGGTAGGTAGAAATTTCAGTTCGTTTTTAATTCAGTGTATGTAATCCATAGAAAATAATGTGATATTGTCACTTTGGTGTTATGTTTATACATCACAAACCCCTCTCAGGTTAAACCTTGGTGTTTGTAGACATGATTGTTGTGCTTGTGATCCAGAGATATGTTTTATTATTTATTATTATCAATGTTGGTCATAAATCCTTAAAATTTCTTGAAGCTAAAACATTTTTTTTGCATCAATAGATGTAAATTATTAAGTGTATATTTTTTAAAGGAAGATACTTTTCCTGTTTACTGAATTTATTTCTTTTCCATTTTTAGGTCAGTTTGTTATTATCCTTTAAATGCTGAAATTATTTGAACCTAATCGATGACAGAAAGATGTATGAGGAAAATGTGGATGCACATAATCAGTCTTGTCCTTTTCCTACATATTTGAGGACAGTTTATTGCAGAATGAGGATGAGGTTGCAACATGATACCTGAAGTAATAAATCCACATGCATTAAAAGCTTGGGTTATCTTTGCAGCACAGGTGTCTTTTCCTGTGTTGCTCAAAAGTGTAAGAATAATTCTCAGTGTTGTCTTTTTTTTTCTGTGGTGACCCTTGATTCCAAGAGTTTGACTCTTTCTGACCCTAATTATAAAACAAGAAAGTCTTTCCACTCTCTTTTTTGTATTATGCCTTTTATTGGGGTGCAGATATTTCTACTTAGTTTTAACTTGGCTGGTATTAGAAGAAAGTATTGTATTATATTCAGTAGGCTTTTTCGGATTTTATTAAATGGATGATTTAATTATCTTCATAGAGATTCGTGCCAGTGAATTTTGTCTTAGAATTCCTACCTGTTGAACAATGGGCAAGTCACGTAATCCCTCTCTGTGAACTTCAGTTTTCACCTTTCTCAAATGGGTAGAATAATGGCCTACCTCACATAAGGGGGTCGTTATGATTATCTGAGAGATGTGTGAAAGCCCAGTGTAAAATGATAGACATTTGGTGATGATATGTGATTGTCTGTTTGCAACAGCATTTTTTCTAGTAAATTCTTTTCATTGGTGACTGTGCTTTTGTGTGGGGTGTCTGTGACCGGAGAGGCATGGTCATATGGAGATGAATGTATATGCACATCCATGTGCCTTGGGAAGTATATATTCCTGCTTGCATCGTTGATATTTTAATAAGCTCCTTTGATTTTGCCCAAATCAAATTCCCATGTAATTATAATATTAAATTGTAATACGTAAAGTGAGTTTTGTAAACTCAGAACTATCCTAGGCCCTGAATGATAAATGGCTGAATGTATTGAGAGCAGTCATGTTGTAGACAGATTTCTTATTTTAATTTTCTGATTTTCTTTAATAATCATATTATTGCTTGAATGAAATCGTACTGAAAACTCTGATTTTTCTTTTAAGGGGAAATTCCTCATTTTGACCTTCAAGACCTACCAACATCAAGCCCCAGCCTACTTCTTGTAATATAAATCCTAACTTTAACCAGGCTTGTTTACTCACCTGCTTAAATATTCTTTCTTCTTTGGGCCTATCTAATGTCCAATTTGAAGACCTCACTCCAGTCAGCTGTGGTATTGTGAGGAGGGCGGTGAAATGGAGACACTTTCTTCTGCCTCTGTCACTTGCTCATTCACTCCCTGCTGGGTTTGTGAGAGGACTTTCAGGGCCAGGATCTTAGTTCTTATGTGTCCTATTTAGTTCGTCCTGTGAAGCCTCACCTGACATTCTAACCATTCTTTCCTTTGCATTTCTGTAGTATTTGTTATCTGTACCATTCCCTTCCACACACACTTGTTCTACAACTGGAGTGTTTGTGTCTGTGCTTCCTTTCCTAAGCCAGGTTGTGAGCCCCATCAGTTCGGGTTCACTGTGTTGTATTGCTGGGTGCTCCCCCAGCACCTGGCTTAGAGCTGCACACAGAGACCCTTAACCACCGTTTTTTGAATGAAGGAGATCATATATTTTATGATGCATTTCAAAAACTCTTATATTATAGGTAGCAACGATTGCAGAGACAGATGAGTCTGCAGAATCAGAAGGTGTAATTGATTCTCATAAACGTAGAGAAATCCTTTCACGAAGACCCTCTTATAGGTACGTTAATTAAGTTTCCTACTGTAATGATACTTTTTCCAAAAAGGGAGAATCAAACCGATTCTTCCATTATAGCTTTTCTGTTTTAAATCTCATTCATAGATCTTAATTACTTATATTGTTAAATTATATTTTAGAAAAATACTGAATGAACTTTCCTCTGATGTGCCTGGTGTTCCCAAGATTGAAGAAGAAAAATCAGAGGAAGAAAGAACACCACCTAACATCGCTACCATGGCAGTACCGACTAGCATATATCAGACTAGCACGGGGCAATACAGTATGTATGCTGCAATTCGATATGATACAGTGCTAGCTTTAAGTCTTCTCTAGTTACATCAAAGCATCTTGGGTTGGCATTAAATTGTTCCATTTTAAAATGCATCGTAATACCTAAACTGTGTATCATAGAATGAAAAACACCTGTTAAAGAAGAAAGAGATTTGTATATACACACATATACTTTTGAAAAGTATACAATTTTTTACTGAATATAGAAGAAAATTTGGGGGTAAAAATAAAGGGAGGATTTTTCCTATTTATATGTTTATATTCATGTCTAGTAAAAGTTTAAAACTTAATGTTTTTTGTTGTTTTTCTGATGCATGCAACCGTAATAAGATATAAATTATTTCACTCTTGTTGGCTTTTGTTACCAACAATTACATTTTATACTTACTAATCTAAAAGAAGTACATATGTTTTCTAAATTATGTTTTAAATGTAATTCTGTTTATACTACTCTCTACTGTGTTAATTTGTGCTGCAGTTTTTCCTAGAGGAGAATGGCAAAATGATTTATTTTTTAAAACTACAGCAATTGGACAGATCGTTTTATTTGAAATTTTAAACACCAAAAGCTCTAAATAAACAGATACGTTCACATTTAGTCTTGTGCATCTTAATGGGCTAATTCTCTGCTTTTTGCTCCAATTAAAACACTAGTTTTTTCCCAAATCAAGAATGTTTGATACGTAAAAATACTATAGTGAAAAATGAGGATTAGGAAGAAAAGAAGAAGGGAGGAGGAAAAGGCAGAAACAGGACAGAAAAAAAGTTTTACAAAAAGCTGCTTAGCTACTGGAAGCTACTGGAATAGGTGACATGAAATACTGTTGGTCCAAGTGCAGTGTAAGAGTTTACATATATTCTCTCCTTTCCCTTTAGACAGTAGGAACACGTAGAAACAGTCTCAAGTCTCAATGTAAGACCTGGCTGTTAAAGCAAGCTATAATCTTTAATATATGTAGAGACCTTATATTGTCATGAGTTCTTTTAGAGTGTTTCTTGTAGTGGCGCTAGACGTGCGGTATTAAACCAGTTCTCCTTGGTCACTCCGGCTCTTCAGGTACCTCCTCCCATCATACCTGAGAGAACTGGGGTATAATTTGTCCACAGCCTCTACAGGGCACTGTGTGGACACATCCAAAGTCAATGTTAGGAAAAGAAAACTCCCCACTGTCTGTAAGAGTTAGACCTTGAGCTTTTCACTGTCATTTCTCTTGTATTGCTTCTCTGATTTACATGCCTTTCTGTCTGGCGCACTGGGAACATATAGTGGGAGTTTTAGACTATACATCAGAGGCTGCCAGCCAGTGAGCCTCTGCAGTTCAGCACACAGGTCACAGGAATGGGAGCTCCTCGTGCCCTGCCCTCAGTCCCCAGAGTGGCTGGGCAGGGCTTAGAGCTGCTGGAACCTCCTGGCGGGTCAGTTCTGGCCTTGAGCAGTAGACTGTACACATATTATTATGTTGTTTGTGTCGTGACAGGGAAAAGGTTGGAAATTTATGCTGAAATAATGCTAAGACATCTTAAAGTTTGGGGGACGAGCTAAGAGGCTGTCATCTTAAACATTTCTCTGGCGCATCCCGATGCTGCTTAGGAGTAGATGGAAGATGTGATCTCTTGACAAGGCGGTAGGAAGGGGACGCTGCAGCTTCATTTGCCTAGATCATTAGCTGAAAATTGAAATCATGACAACATGTCGGGTTGAGAGAATATTGAAGCTAGAGATGATGTGGGGGAGGCACCCTGGTCCTGCCGTTCACTGACTGGATTAGAGCGAGAAGCTTTATTTTCCCCTCTCAGGTTTTTAGTCTTTAAAGTATGAATAATAGCAAATTACCAAACTCTGGATTTTTTGTAAGGACAAAAGGAGATAACAGGTAAAAGCTGGGGTGGTGTTGGGGGGGGGCGGGAAGACATGCTACTTTTGACACGAAACAGAGAAATGTAAACTAGCTGTGGCAACGTCTCATTCAAGGTCATTCAACCTTTCCCTCCAGGCAGCACTGAAGCCTTTGTTTCTTGTGCTCTTAGAGCGGCATGCAGCGGGGGCTCGGCATTAAATGTCATGGTGGGTATGGAGGTAGGGGAGTTGAGTCAGGAGTTCTGGTTGAGAACTAGAAAATCGAACGTTTAGAAGTTAGACCTTATCTGTTTGCCACATTAGAGGTCAGGGAGTGTCTATAACAGGTTTCTGAATTGGGACCCATCCAGTATGATCCTGGCAGTTAATTTAATGAAAAGTTGTGGTGGTTCTATATGTGCTGTCTACAGGTAAAAATTGCCATTTATTGGTTCACAAAAAGCCATATTGCCTTTGTTAAAATGCATTTCTTAGCCATTTAGTGACACTTGTTAATAATTCTTTCATTCAAGAAGTGAATACTAACATTTAAACTTTCTAGAAGACATTTACTTTAAGTGGAAGGTAAATGTTTATTTATACATACACAGATCCATTTTCATTAATCGCATTTCTTCTAGGGATAGCTTAACAGATATTAATGCTTTAATGTTGTTCCTAAATATCTAGAAATAGAAATAATTACTGGTGTCCTTTGGTTTTAAGGACTTTAAGAGGAATTTGTTTAACTAGAATTTCTGGACACATTTCTGTGTATTCATGTGCATGTACCTATTTTTTTTGTTTTTTTGTGAGGAAGATCAGCCCTGAGCTAACATCCATGCCTCCTCTTTTTGCTGAAGAAGCCTGGCCCTGGGCTAACATCTGTTAGCTATCTTCCTCCACTTTATATGGGATGCCGCCACAGCATGGCTTGGCAAACAATGTGTCGGTGCGCGCCTGGGATCCGAACCCCGGGCCACCAGCAGCAGAGCTCGAGCACTTAACCGCTACACCATGGGGCTAGCCCCCTGCATGTACCTATTTTTGAGGCTCTTTCACAACCTTTTATTGTAAAACTGTTGTTTTAAATTCTTTCTTCTACTTTTATCCATGGAAGATTTTCCCCCAAACTTTGCTTTGTTTCTTATTTTCAAAGACTATTATTTTAGATTATTTATTTTTAATTTGGTATAATGAGTTAGTTGGAGTTAAAAACGAAAAGAACTAAACTAAAGAACTTTGTGTGTCAAAGTCAAAGGAATAAAATAAAAATAAGTATATCAGGTTTTCCCATATACAAGCAGTTAGTAGTTGAAAGTTAGATATTTGACAGATGTTGGCCTTAATATTTTAACTTATTTTTTCTTTTTTTTTTTTTTAATTTTATTTATTTATTTATTTTCCCCCCAAAGCCCCAGTAGATAGTTGTACATCATAGTTGCACATCCTTCTAGTTGCTGTACGTGGGACGTGGCCTCAGCATGGCCGGAGAAACGGTGCATCGGTGCGCGCCCGGGATCCGAACCCGGGCCGCCAGCAGCGGAGCGCGTGCACTTAAGCTAAGCCACGGGGTTGGCCCTTAACTTATTTTTTCAATCACAAAAACTAAGAAGTGAAAGTTGGAATAGGCTACTCCCTGGAAGTAGGAAAAATAACTTAAAATAGGCAGGCATTCATTATTGCAAAACCAAGACAGTGAGCTACACTTGCACAATCTTTGCTGAAAGTACAGATCTTTGTGATAGGTGTGCTGTATGCCAAGTAAGTCACTCTGGTTAGAAACGCTGTTCTGCCACAGAAGAACATTTCTGAAAGATAGCGGTTTAGAAAGGCTTAGAATTAGCAAAGAATGTTGCTTGCTGCATAAGACATTTAAGATATGCATTAAATGAGAGTGAATTCATAAACACATAGAAAAAGCAACTAAATACATTTAAATGTTTGAAGTTTCTTAATTCACTAAATTTTCTCTAAAGACAGGTTTTTTTTATCCCTTACTCTACTATACCAGACCTCTTCCCTTACCAATTAAGGACCATCCTCTAAGACTTCCAATTATTTTTTTTTTCTTGATGTCCCTGTCTCTTTGCTTGCTCCTACTTTATTTTACTAGGAACCTTGTTAGAATGAGTCTCTATAAACTCATCTTACTGGAATTTTTATACACTAAAGGTAAGTGGGTCAATCCAAAATCCACCATCATGAAGAAAGATATGTGTGAACTTTGTGGACTGCTTCAAGAATTCAGAATTCTCAGGAGACCGTATGGATACACACCGATTCCATGTCTCCGTAAAGGCCTTTGCACCTGAGAGGCTCACGCGTTCTCAAGTACATGCAGTTGCATTTATGATTCTCAGTAGTGACTTTGCTGACATCCTCCCAAGGTCACTTTCAAAGCAAACATAGGAGGGATCTACTTCATGTGAATCTGGCTCTTTAACCTTAGTGTTGCTATTCTTGGTCCAGCATGAGTCTGTCTGAGTCTTTCTTCTGCTGTATGCACTTCTTGACTCTTAAGGCCCAGGTCCTCACGGGTTCTGTTTTGTGCTCACTTTTTGAGTTTAAACCTGAGAATTCACTGGAATAGGGTCTGTATTCTTTGTAAAGTTAATTCAATGAAATTTTATTTATGAGTCTCTCTATTGCAATTTGGAATATAGATAGATTTAAATTATAATTAATTAAACATTTATATGTTTATGTATTTGAATTGGCTCAAATATACAGGTTTAGGATTAAAGAGATAGATATTAGCATCAAGTAAAAAGAGGTCAGATGAAATCTTAATTTAAATAAATTCTACTCCTTCCTCATTTGGTCATGAACTCTGTTTTTCAGTTTCCACCCTTATTTATCTTGCTCTTCTTTCTTCTTTATTGATTATAAAAGACTTTAAAATATTACTTTTTTAATTAAAATTTTCTTTTACCAAAACTCTTAAATTTTTAGCCCATAAATAATATTTTCCTCACTTCAATGATATTAATAGCTCCAGGAGAGAAGTGCTCAATGGCAGCGAATAGTGGAAGGAGCAGGTTTGTTAAACACGGCTTTGTATACCAGGAATTTTTTAAGAATTTATTGCCTGGACTAGTTGACATGATATCATCCTGGTTACCATGGTATATGGTAAGTTGGGATAAGGAAACAATACTTGGGTTAATACTGATCTGAAACTAAATACCGTGACTATGTAAGATGTAGATAAAGATATTTGTGTAACCACTAAAACTAACTTAGTAGAAAAATACTTAGTAAATTAATGAATTACACTCTATCTAGCCACTCTTTCTTAATTTAAGGTCAGTGTGTCCAACATTCAACCAGTGGATACAGAGTGACCTACTTATTTATGAGGTATAGCTCACCTGAGACTTTAGGAGAAAGAAGGTTAGGTACCTCCCAGAGCAACTAGGACAAGAGAGCCTAACCTGTACCCACTACTGTGAGCAGGTAACTACCAGCCGGCTTGAATCGTTGATTATATAATCTAGGTGTCCAGTGTTAATTCAACCTAGATTATTTTATGAAGCTGTAATATTATTAAGAATTACTTAAAAGAGGAAAATTGGTGTGCATATAGTCTAAAATTTAAAAAATCACTTTTCCTTCTGCTTGAGTCCCAGTCAATATTCATAGACCAGTGTCTTCATTGTGAATGACTGTGGCCGTAGGTAAAAGCTTTTATGCCTCCGTTGTGTGTGTCATTCCAAGAAAGCAGTAATAAAGCCTAAGTTCCCAAAGTAAAATTAGTGGGATATACAAAGGTATTTTATTTTCATTGGTTACTAATGGCCTTGATATGGTCCAATCATTTTATTTAAAAATTATTAACCAGACATGGTATCTGAGATTTGTTTTGAAATACTCAAGACAAAAAAAAAGGTTTGGGACGAGTGAGCAGGAAAAACAGATGACACAAAATTCTTTCTACTTCCGTTTGCTAGAAAACTTCCGTAAGTTATTTAAAAAAATAATTAGCTAAAACAAAAGTTATGATTGAACTCATTCAGTTAATTTCATCTCAGTTTTTCCTACCATTTGATTTATCTTTATGAGTGTTTACTGAAAACACATATTATGCTATCCTTGAATATTTGGTAACCTAAAAAGTTTCCTGCTCAAATCTTTTGAATACATGTGCACACACAAAGCCTATTTCCAGTGTCCTGAAGCATTGGGAAATCTTGTTTATGTCAAGTGAGAGGTAACATTTTGAATGGGAAGGTCCTCTGTCATTTGATAATGTCAAAATCAAGAGCGCCTTCGGTTTAAAAAATAAAACCTGTGCTAAAGTATGAGACTTATCAGTAGGAACAATTTCCCCCTGGAGCCAGCTTGTGTGTGTGTAGCTTTTGTTGTCCACACCTAATTATATAATGACTTGACCAGAAAATAAAACGATGAGAGGAACACATTCTTGATATATCAGCTTTTCACAGTGTAAAAGCTAAGAAGTTTTGGTTAGAACTATGACGAAACACTGAAAAAAAAAGAGTAAAAAAAGAAACTATGAAAAGAAAAAAGAAAGTAAGGCTCTTGTTATCTACCTATTTCATGGTTCTTATCATTGGGAGCAACTACTCTCAGTTCAGACTTTTTACTAGTCCAAATCTTGGTAATTGTATTGGCATTGAAAATTAAGTTGTGTAATTAGAATTTGAAACCATACTTCATGTAACTCTTCTAGATTCACAAGTGGCTTAAGTTGTTCATAACAAAATCTGTCTTGAGTAAATGAAGGCCATTCATTCATCGTTGTATTGAGTGCCTGCTGTATGCTTAGGCTTGTGCTTCTTACACAGTTGTGGTTACACTGCCTTTTCCTATTCTTTCTAAAGCACTATTTCTATGACGTGAAACTAGTTATCAACTGGAAATGTACATTCAAATATATGGTAATATGAAGTTCACTCCTGTCCAGCAGTGAGGAGCCAAGGAAGCAGCATCTCTTCTTTTTCATCCCCCCCTTTAAGAAGGGGACATAGATCTCTCCCAGACCCTTTCATTCCTGAGACCCTGCAAATCTTTGGGGAGTCGTGGTGAAATCTTGTTTAAATGTGTACAGAATGTAATGCTCTCGATGAGCCAGATATATGCAATGTGTTACGTCCGAGTTTCTCAGCCTCAGCACTATTGACATTCGGTAACTGACTCTTCAGTTTCTGTCAGTTGTGTGCTGCTGGTGGCCGGTCAGGGAACTAAAATGCAGAGAATGCAATATGTTGGAATCTTTTTAAAAAGGTTAACCCATCTTTCTATGTTAGGCTCTAGAACCTTAGGTCAAAGAACTGAAGATTTGTTATTGTTTTTACTCTTTCCAATGGTTCTGACAGGTATATACGATCAGGTCATCACCCAACTGGTCCTTTGCCCAGATACTGTTAAAAATGTTACATGATGATTTGGAAAGATTCAGAGTATATTTTAGACACTACTATAACATTCCTGTAAGACATTTACATGGATTTATAGGTGTTGTGTTATTCTGATGCTGTGTTATTTTTATCTGCATTGTGAAGTCTGGTTAGGTAGTTTACATGTGATTTTCTGAAAAAGGGATAGCCCTTAGTTCCACTTAATTACTCGTGTTTAAACTAAAACATGGGGTCGTTATCTGTATGTTAAAGTATACAGAACTCTCAGATATTTTAAAGAGTACTTGTCTATTAGAGTGAAAGTTAAAAACAAAACATTTAATCAATTATTCTTTTGAAACTTTCAGTTAATATGTTAACTTTTAAACATGACTGGCAAGTCTCAGTATTTAGAGGAAGTCTGCCTCATATTTGTTGCCGTTAGCTGTAGTTATTCAAGACACGTGGTAGAGGTAAATATTGTAGCACAAATTATTTCAGTTACCTTTTAAGGTCCTTTCCAACTTAACATTTTATATTTCAGGATTCTGCTAACATAGTCAGAGTGGTAAAGGTTATAGTTTTGTAGACTTGAGCTTTAAAACCAAAATATGTAATATATTCCATTAAAAGTCACTTTCTTTTGATGATAAATTAGAAAAGTAGTTAGCTGAATGAAGGTACAGATTCATTGTACTTAGGATGCTCAATGGAATTTTACTGACCGTTTCTTAAATGTTAGAAGAATGCTGTTTATCTATAACTAAACATATCTGAAAGAACGGAGAAAGTCAAGAAGCTGGACTTCCTCCGTCTGCATCGCCACTCTTCCTCGTAAATCATTGAGTTGGATGGATGCCAGGGAGCAGGAACACTCCATGGTTCTACGTATGTCACATAATTCTGAGTATAAGATATTTTCAGGTTATTTATGAGGTTTTTCAGAGTGTTGTCCCATGAAGGAGGATCTCCTTATCAATTCAGCATAGCAAAATAAGGGTAACTTGAAATGAGAAGCATTGGTAATAAAGAGACCCAGAGTATATTCTTCCAATATTGGGATTATTAAAAATGAATCTTGAAATTCCCTAATATTTCTTTTCTTTTTCTGTTAAGTTGCTATAGCCCAAGGTGGAGCAATCCAGATTTCTAACCCAGGATCTGATGGTGTTCAGGGACTGCAGGCATTAACAATGACAGATTCAGGAGCTCCTCCGCCAGGTGCTACAATTGTACAGTATGCAGCACAGTCAGCTGATGGCACTCAGCAGTTCTTTGTCCCAGGCAGCCAGGTGCTTGTCCAAGGTATATTTTATCAATCTCATACGTTTACAATACCTGTAGATTACTATACCACACCATTTAGTGGTGACTTTATAGTTTTCTGAAATATACAGAAGGTAGATTTTGACGGGGGGAGGAGGCACTTAAAAGGCTTGAAAAAGAATATTTTAGTATGTTAAACAAAAAGTTAAATTATATGGTTTTCACTTTATAGCAGGTTTTATTTGCTCTTAAGGTTAAATTCAGAGTATCATGATGGAAAAAGGGAGTTGGAAACAGGAATGAATTTTTTAATTAAGTAAATATCCTTCATTTGGGGGTTAGAAATGTTGTATCTAATATATTTTTATTACCTAGTCATAAAGATTTAAGTATCCAGTCCATAATGTGCTGAATTTGGGTCTTTCCCCAGCTATTACACTCAAGTCTAATTTCTAGACGTCTCATTTCAAAACAAAGGCTGATTTTTGTTTTTTCTTTAGACCGTTCTTAGTATATCTGAATTCTGGGGTACTCATACTACCTCTTAGGGAAGCTGACAGTAGTGAAATAAAATAGTTGGGATGTAGTCCGAAGCACTAATTTTAAGGGGAGTAATATCAGTTCTTTTAGTTTGAAAGTCTTGCAAGTATGGAAAAAAGCAGATTATAATCGATGAATGTCTTGAAAATTAGCTTTTCTCTTGGGTATTTGGGGGTTAATGTGGACTATAATAAAAGTGTTTGAAGAACTGAAGTGGTGGCATTTATGGAGTAAAAAGAAATTCATAGTACTTACCCAATACTTTAATGTTTTCTTTTAAATGTAAAATTAAAGTCACCCGTATATTCCCTGACACGTGTGAACCCTGTGTGTCTACATGAATAATCATAAAGAATAATCATTTCTTCCAATTTTATCTTTTTTCATATGGAAAATCCACTGCAAACTTGATACTTTAACAAGGAAAGTTTTTAAAATGTTTTATGTTTTGCATAGATAATACACACAGAAGTTTAAACATATTTATTTAAACATAAGTTTTGTGCTTGGAGTTTTATTTAAAAACTTTTTTTCTTCCATATGTCATAAAGATATTTTTCTACTTTAATTCTATTAGCTTTGTAGTTTTCCCTTTCACATTTGGGTCCTTAATCCACCTGAGGTTCACCTGGGTATATACTATTAGGTGGGAATCCATTTTCATTTTTCGTCCATTTATGGAGCTAGTTTTCCCTACTAATGGTTTGTCCTTTCCCCATGAATATGTGGGGCAATGGTATTTATACAGTAGGTTCTCATGTATGCTTGGGTCTGTCTCAGAATCGCCATTCTGTACTGTTGGACTGTTTCCCTATGTGCCAGTGCCATACTGGTTTGTTATCTCACAGAACAAGGTCCCCTTTTCTGTCCTTTTTTGTGTGTTTGTTTTAATGCTGATTTAGCTTTTGTGAACCATTATTCTTTCCTATGCATTTGGAATAAGTTTGAGTTTCTAAATAATAATAATATAATAAAATCAATGAGATTGCATTTAATTTATAGATTAATTAGGGAGAACTAAAGTCGTTTTTCTTTATTGAGATATAATTGACATATAACAGTATATTAGTTTCAGGTATACAACATAATGATTCAACATATGTATAAGTCACAATCAGTGATCACGCCAATAAGTCTAGTTAACATCCATCACCATACATAGTTACAAATTTTTTTTCTTGTGATGAGAACTTTTAAGATCTACTCTCCTAGCAACTTTCAAATATACAACACAGTATTATTCACTATTGTCACCATGCTGAACCTTACATCCCCAGGACTTATTTATTTTATAACTGAGAGTTTGTACCTTTTGACCAGCCTCACCCATTTTGCCTATTCCCCACCCCCCACCTCTGGCAAGCACCAATCTGTTCTCTGTAGCTATGAGTTTGGTTTTTTTGGTTTTTGTTTTTTTAGATTCCACATATAAGTGAGATCATTTGGTATTTGTCTTTCTCTGACTTATTTCACTTAGCATAATGCCCTCAAGGTCTATCCATGTGACAGATGACAAGATTTCCTTCTTTTTATGGCTGAATAATATTCCCTTATATATATGTAGCACATTTTCTTTATCCATTCATCCATCAGTGGACACTTAGGTTGCTTCTGTATCTTTGCTATTGTAAATAATGCTGCAGTGAACATAGGGGTGCAGATATCTTTTCAAGTTAGTGGGGTTTATTTGGGTTTTTGTGTGTGTGTGTGTGTGAGGAAGATCAGCCCTGAGCTAACATCTGTTGCCAATCCTCCTCTTTTTGCTGAAGAAGATTGGCCCCGGGCTAACATTTGTGCCCATTTTCCTCTACTTTATATGGGATGCCGCCACAGCATGGCTTGACAAGCAGTGCGTTGGTCTGTGCCCAGGATCTGAACCTGCGAACTCTGGGCTGCCGAAGCGGAGCACACGATCTGAACTGCTACACCACCAGGCTAGCCCCTCATAGTGTTTTTGATTCCTTTGGATAAGTACCCAGAAGAGGAATTGGTGGGTTGTATGGTAGTCCTATTTTTAATTTTTTAAGGAACCTCCACACTGTTTTCCATAATGGCTGTACCAATTTATATTCCCACCAGCCCTGCACAAGAGTTAGGAAGAACTGAAGTCTTTATAATGCTAAATTGATCTATTCCAAAGCATAGATTGTCTCATTCATTCAGATCTTATTTTAACTTCCAGTTTAAAATTTTCCTCCATGGGGGTCTTTTATATTCTTTGTTCCGTTAATTCCTAAATGCTTTTTGGTTTTCGTTGCTGTTATGTATGGTGCCTTTCTATTACATTTTCTAGTTTTTGCAGGTGTAGAGAAATATTATTGATTTTTTTAAAGTTTATCTTTTATCTATTAACCTTGCTAAACTCTAATTACTTCTAATATGCTGATTCATTGTGAATCTATCTGTGATATTCTGTGAGTGTTTATATCAAATACAAGTAAGATGTTTGTTCTTCCCTTCCAATCTTTGTTCCTCTTTTATTCTTTTTCTCCTTACCTGGCCTTTCTTTTCCTTTCCTTTTCCCTTCTTCTTCTTTTAAATAATGGTGGCCAGGAGTTCTAGTTCTATGTTAAACATATCAGGGTCCATGGGCATTCTTGTCTTTCTCTCTACTTCCGCCCTGTCATCCCACTGAGAGGTCACAGCAGTTTCTCTGTGAGTTCTCAGTTGATTCCTCAGCGGTGTTGAACACTGTTGACGTCTTCCTTCACTTCCCTGATACTCATTTTATCGTTGTTTCTGCTCTCTCTCCTGCCTCTCCTTCAGTCTGGTCTTCCTCTGCCCCCTCCTAAGTGTGAGTGGTGTTCCTCAGGCTTGCATGCTGGGCCTTCTGCCGTCAGACTTGAGTGCTCTCCCTGGACGACCTCATCCCTGCCCATGGCTTCAGTTCACTGTGGCTGTGCCCGGACTCCAACTGGCTGCTTAGATATCTCACACACATCTCCAACTCCTTAAGTCCAAAACTCCACATCCATTTTTACCCACCCCAGTTCTTTTGTTTACCCTATTTCAGTAATGAACTGCTGCCCGTCCTGTTGCTTCAAGCCAGAAACCTGGGCATCATCCTTATTCTCCCTGCCCCTCTCCATCCATTCTTCCTCCTAGCTAAATCACACCTCTTCTCTCCTCTCCACCACTCTGTCATACCCTAGTTCTGGCGGCCATCCCCTCTGACATGGATTACAGCAGCAGGTTCTAGTCTCTGCCCTGAAGCTGGTAGCCGTGGGGCAGCTTCCTGATCTTCCTAATCATGCCAGAGGTAGCAGATCCCTTCTTAGCCCAGTTTTTTGTGAATTGTTTCTGAAAGTTCAGCTAGGCTCTCTTTCTTCATCCCTCTCAATGATTCTGGGAGCTACTAATATTTCTTAAAAACAAAAGTCTCTGCTTCCAACATGAAAACTCTCTCCTTTATACTCTTGATTCTGCAGTTCAGAGTGGTATTTCTACAATTCGCATCTAATCATGTCAGTCTCCTGCTCAAAAACCTTCATTGAATGCCTGTTCTGACTTGTTAGACAAAGTCAGAATCTCTGCTTGATCCAGGCCTTGCCTCCTCTATTAGTCTTCTCCCTCTCACCGTCCTCTTTGGTGGTGCAGCTCTATGCTGCTGCTTCTCATTTCCTGTGATACGCCACACCCTCTCTCCTCTCTAGGCCTTCAGACACAGCCTTTGCCCTGAGAGGAACACTTTCCCCAGTCACAGGCATTATTCAGGTGTCATCTTAGCAACCTCCTCCAGGAAACCTGCCCCAATCCTCCAAATGTGGCTTCAACAACCTCCTGTGAGTTCCCGCTGCCCCTTCTTGGGGCACGTGTCACACTGTTGTGAATCTCTGTCCTGCCTAGATGGTGACTTCTGTTTGGACAGGGATCCTTAGTCCCTAGCACAGTCCCTGGCATATGATAAATGTTCAGTAACCATTTACTGAATGAAAGTGAAATACTCTTCCTCTGTGAAAATGTTATCAGTTCTGTGTGCTGATTAACTGAGTTTATCTGGTCCAGGGAGTATATTAAAAACTAACTAAAACAGTAGTCAGCCAAGCAACCAACCTCCCTCCTGCCCTTCCTTCCTCTACCCATTTTTTACACTAATATTTATTGAGTACCAAGTGCCAATTTGAAGAAATGTTGAGATAAAAACCAATTTGAACTTTCTGAAATTGGAAATAAAATTGACTAGTGCTTTGGACCCAAACTCTTAGGTGTAGCTGGGATGGAGGAGTCCTTCATGGAGCCTCTGATGAGGGTTGCTATCTAGATTGATCCTTAGACTTCTTACTTAGCCTGAGCAGGGTGTCTTCAGCTCACGTGCTGTGGAGAGTTACTAGAAACATGATACTCCCTGATGTTTCACCTCCTAAGTATCTGAGTGTGAAGTCCCTGCCTTTACTAGAAGGTGCTTGATTGAATAACGCAAAAATGTGGTGGCGTGTCCTTCCATTGACATAAGGTCGGGTTGGATTCTAATCGTATAAGGGAATGGGCTTTGTATGACC